AAATCCACCTTTGCCTCTGGTACAAGGTAAAAGCTATGGCTTTCTCCATTTTCCCATGGGAAATGGAAAACCCAGATCCCTGTTAATAACTAAAAAAAATCTGAAAGCCACTTGAAAACAACTCTGATACATTTTTACAGAAATGAGGGAGAATTGGGGAGTCTACATTCATAAGAAACAAATGACAAAAGCCAAGAAAGGTTCTCTGTCAAACGCAGTAGTCTACTGTTTTGTTGGCATTGATACTGTTTTAGGCAGTGACAAGTGAGTTTTTTTTTTTTTAGTATTCCCTCATGTCACAAGGTGAAAAGAAATAAATTTAAGATCTTCCACTGAAGGTTTAATATCCTAGTTTAGGGCTGTCCAACTTCTCAGTGTCTGGGGGCTGTATGCTGTGTGGGTCACACCAGCAGGAGCTTGCACCAGTGGGAGCCGTGGGTCCCAGGGGCCACATACTCTCCAACTGCACCATGCACCCCCTCCCCTGCCTCTCCACGCACCCTTTCTGCTGCACCAGACACCGAAAGGCTCCCCCACTGCTGCTCCTCTCGCCCCCCACGACCCTCACTCTGCTGCATCACGTACCCAGGCACCTCTCTGTTACACTGTGCATTTCCCCATCCCCACCAGCTGCTACTCCTGTCACCACCTTGCTGAACTGCATGCCCAGGCACCCTGATGTTCACCTCTAGCTTCCCAGCTGTAAGCTCCCACATGGTACTGCACCACACCCCTCCGAAGCTTCAGGCTCCCCCAAGCACTGACAGTTGTGTCATGCTGCACCTGGCTGCCATGTGGAGCAGGGGCTGGAAGGGGGAGCTGGAGGGAGAGGGAGCCTGAAGCCACTGGCTGCTGCTGCAGCTGGAGCAGCAGCTGGGTGGGAGCGCAGGGGCTGCAATTTAACACCTAAGGGCTGCATGTGGCCTCTGGGCTGCCAGTTGGTCAGCCCTGATACAGCTGATACAGAAAGAAATTCCAAGATCTTATTAATGAAAGGCAAATGCAAAACACTTGTGGCAGGCGAGGGAGGCAGGGAGGGGTGGGGAGATAGGGAATTAGGAATGATGAAGCACCTACAAGCTATAGCACAGAAGAAATGAGCAAATGCAGTAAGAACCAGTGGCTAAGTAAACTTGAACAAAAACAGCAATATTGTAGAACAAAAATAACAGAAAAAACTCAAGTCAGGGGCAGTGAACTGCGAATTCTAACTGTGCCAGCAGGCAAAATAAGCCAATTCCTGCTGTGTATTATAGCATAATTTGTTGTACCTTTAATTGGGAATATCAGTGTTGATTTGATTTAAGTGCTTTGAAAACTAGACTTGAAAAACAAAAGGGGGGACAAGGATTGCTTATTTAGTTGCTAGTAGTGACCAAGAGGGAGTCCAAAATGAAGGAAAGGCAAAAAAAAATTAAGACATGAATATTAATTTTTTTTTTTTTACCTTGTCCAAGTGCTCAGACTTAGGCCAGCAGATTGGAGTTTGTAGGAAATGGCTTCTAGCAGAGGGGAAAAAAGGCGCAGTGTCTCTGATCAGCAAAACTACAGATTTTCCATTGGGGTGACCTATTTTTAAAAGGGAATGTAAATTAGTTTCCCATTGGTAAAAGACAGAATGGCAAGGAATCCTTTAAGGACACTGATAAAGGTTGATGAGAAGTTTTGGTTTACAGGGCTTATTTCAGATGTTTTTTACTGTAAACCTGGGATTTTGTCCCGATCTCAGTAACATCTTAGTACTCTTTCTTAAGCAGTGGACACAGGTGTGCTCATGTGGCGCTGGGAGTCCAGAGTAAAGAGCAGAGGCTTTGTATCTATGTCATGAGATATATAATACTTGAATTTTCTGAGGCACGTTCTTCCTTCTCAAGATTCCAGCTTGAATGTATTCAAAATCCTGAGCTACCACAGAAGCACAACAGGCCCAGGCCTATCAGACCTGGTAGTCCCAGTCTTTAAAGTAAGTTGGATTTTGAGAACAGCCAAAAGCCTGGACATGAGAGGCTAAAAAGGTAGAGAAATGTTGCAGAGATGGAGCCTGAGGAGAGAGCTGAAACCACACCTGAAAGGAAAGCGAGTCTGGAAAGAAGAGAGATGGGGAGATAGAAAAAGAGAGATGGAGCCTGATAAAGCAGCAACGTACCCAAGTCTTTCAGTTTGGTCATTCTGGCACTGAAAAAAGCACTGATGAGGCAAACTGTTTTGTTCTTTTCTTTTCTTTTCTACTGAGCTACTTACTTTCAGTTGGTCCGATAAAAGCGAAGCTATCCCTCTCATAGATTTCTTGGACCATCACAACTGCCCAACCCTACTACAGCTATTAGTCTAATTTTTTGCAGTCTAAGGACATATCCATGTAAAAACTTTAACAAGGTAGTGCCTAGTTGAGTCAACATCTTATTAGTTTAGAGAATTCATCTGATGTAGCTTTAGGACCAAAGTAGGGACCACGTGTATGGACAATCTGCTTTTACCAATTCCTGAGACTGATGGAGCCACACCTATGCTAGAAAAATGGGTGGGGACTTTTCCAAAATTCTCAGTATAAAGAAGAGCAAAAAAATTCAAACGTAGTTAGTAACTAAAGCTGCTATAAATAGCTTTTTGTCCTTGGCAGTCTGTGTTCCTGCCAACCGGTTCTACCTGCTATTTTTGTTTTTTTGTTTTTGCTGTTGTTTGAATAGGATCCTCTTCTTCTGCTTGTGTAAATGGTTTAGCCTCTTCCTAGCTATCTGTGTAATAAATAGATCATCCCAGAGAGTATTTCACCATAAGCTGGTTGTGCTGCTCAACCTGGTATTCACTCCACTTTTTCTTCATGACTCAAGCTTTGTGTAGCCACAAGCTGACTTTATTAGTTGTAAATAATTAAAATACTTTGTTAAAATGCACAGTTAAAAGTGTGTAGATTATTTTGTATTGGACATTAGGCTATCTCAGTATTGGTGATTTATGTCTTCAGACATATGTAAAATCTTAAGTAGGTGCTAAATCACATAGCAAAATTTCTAGTTGTCTAATGGTGCATGTTTTAAGGAGCCACTTTTCAGAACAGGAGAAATGGAAAAAACATCTACTTTTGGCATACCTTAAAAAGCTTTCAAGTACTGACTGTCCAGTGTTGACATTAGATTTTAGGAGCCCAGCCCTTATACCTTTGTTCCAGGTAGGCACAACCCTCAGACCAACCACAACACCTGCCAGCTGACAATAGGCACGTTTATTGATACAGAGTGATAACAAAAAAGCAACAATACAAACAACCAGGCAATTCTATATCTACCAATCCTAGGGCTGTCATCAGAGTCAAAGTACATCTGGTCAGGATGCAGGCACCACTCTGAGGCTCTCTTTTAGGTGTCAGCAGACCGGAGGTGGGATGCTGAGGCCCACAGCCCACCTCCAGTGGGGTGCATGAGATGGGCTGCTGGTATCCCCTCAATCCATGGTGGCCTCAGGGACCCTTCCCAGGATGGGGACCCTTCTCAAAAAAGAGAAGGAGGGACAGGCAGCGACAAGGAGGGACCCTTTGTTAATCTCAGTTCACTGCTTTTGTATTCTCCTTCCCCCTTGATGACTCCTGCTGACTCTTCATCCGTGACTCCTGCTGACTCTTCTTCTATCTCTGGTTGGCTGTCTCTCTGCGGTCACATGTCCACGTAACCTTCTGGGCCTTCTCCTAATTCGGCCTGTTCCCTCAAAACTCGGACTCAGCTCCCCCTGGAGCTCTGGGGCCTTGTAGCTGGTGTCACTTACCTTGTGTTATGGGACAGTATGGTACATACTTCTTTGGTTTCCATGCTGTGCGTCCTTGTTGTGTTAGACAGCCAGTCTGCCTTGAAGGCTGTGATCTCACATTATGGCACGCCCCACCTCAATTCTCGGGTTGTGTCCAGCTGTTGGCCTTGTTGTGTTAGATAGCCCGTCTGTTTTCAGGGCCATGAGAAGCTGTGTGTGCATCTCCCAAGCCCATCTTGAACCCTTATAATGCATACATCTATACCTATAAGCCAATTCCCACAAAACAGGCCTTTAAATGCTATTTTTAAGCCAACATCTAGGTTGTAAGGAAATTTTGACTTGGGTATTTTCTGAATCTGAGCACTTCTCTTTACAATGCTGTAATTCTTTTGAAGTTCTTTGGTTGTACTAGAGAAAAATATTATTCTGGATTGTCTCTATTAATTTCATTGTTATGGACAAATGCCAAGTCTTTTTGCCTCGCATCGAATGATTTTGTTTGTTTGTTTTATACAAATCTATACCAGAAGAGTTGTCTAGAAATAAATATCATGAGCATCTGACAAATGGTGTTTGTTCTGTATATGTTTCTAATCTGTTGTCTTATGCATGTTTGTTATTATGAAGAGTTGTCCTGGGTATTTCCAAAGCAATCCCTTTTTCTTCTTCAATTACTGTAGAGAATTATTTATTTATAGATCCGTCCCGCGTGTTTCTTGGTTTGGAATGTTTGCAGTTGGAGTATAACCATTTATAAAGCTAATGTCGAGTATCCAAATAAACACATTCCTTCGGTTTGCCCTTCATGTTGCAAGTCATTTTTCCAATGTGGTGAATGCTGTTAAGTCATATGTCCAAGAAAGTATTTTGGAACTGTATTCAGAGTTCCCCAAAGAGGCAGTGATGCTTTTAGCTGTAAGTAAAAGCCAGACCAACACAATTTTATTTGACCAAAGAATGTATGCTGCCATCTCAGTGTGGGATGCAGTGCTGGAGCTGGGTAGGAATTCAAAGCTCCCTGTTTCAGAGAGAGATAGTAAGTTATGTCTGACCTGGTATCTAAAATTGCATGTTGTCTCCCTCAATTAGGTGCAGTCCTCCAGATGGAGTGATATTAATAGTTTCAACACTGATTAAAAGCCCTCATATTCAGTATATTAGATTCTGTTTGTATGGTTTTCATCTTCAGTTGTACTCAGGCCTTATTAACGTGGTGTCATAATATTTAAAAATATATTCTGTACTTCTTCTTACAGACATTGTCCATCGGGGTACTTGATATCTTTGGATTTGAAGATTATGAAAATAACAGCTTTGAACAATTCTGCATTAACTTTGCTAATGAACGCTTACAGCACTATTTTAACCAGCACATCTTTAAACTAGAGCAGGTAAGTCTGTCAGTATTGATTGCATGCTTCAACATACGACATATTGCACTTTGTTTGGTTGAAAGTCTTGAACTAACATATGGCAGAATTAGCTTATAAGTCTTCCTGGGCTGTCTTCTAAAAACTGTTCCATCCGTCTAAGGACAGCAGATCTTTTCAGGCATGAATTCTAGTTTGATCAGATGGACCACTTCAAGAGGTATAGAGGTGAAGGCAACTTATACTACATGTCAGGGTTAGGGTTTGTTGAGAGAAAAAAATCCTATGCGACTTGTCCTAGCAGAAGACTTGCAAGACATCTACAGGGCAGCTATTCTTACCTTCACATTGTACAAGTATCTGTATTCATTCTGCTGAAAGGATTCTGCAGACAGTAGTTCTTTGGTAAGGAGAGACTAGTTATTAGTGTTGTCTATACCCCTTGCTCTTCTTGAAGCCACATTGCTAAAAAGAATCCCACTGTGAGGCTCTGTGAACCTGCCTATACCGAGAAATTGGAAAATGTATCTAGGTTCTATTAAGCTTATCTGTAAATAGCCTTCCTTTTAGTACCCAACCTACTGTGGAAGAATCAGGCTTCAATTTATGGATTAAGCTTGAAGAGGTATTATTGTATTGGAAGATAGAATAGCCTTTACATGATCTGCAGTAGCAAATATTTCAGTGGACATATTCAAAGCCTCACAATTAGTTATTTGATTCCTGTTATGCTGAAGTATAAGAAAACCAATGTGGATGCTCCCTTCTGCCTGTAGATTCTGTCTTCACAGTGCTTGCAACAGGCTGAAAATACCCCTGTGAAAGTTTTTGGACTCTTCTTCTAGAAAAAGGACATTTTACAAATACCAGAGGACTTTTCTATTAGAGCGCTTTTTGTCAGTGATTGTTTGTACCTTTAACATTGTGGAATGCAACTGAAAAGATGCCACCCAGATTTTCCTTCACGCTTCATAACAGCAAGCATGACTTAGACAAAGAGTCCAGCACAAGAGTGATATGATGTTTAGCTGTGTTATATAGTGATGTCTGGTTAAGATTCATTATAAAACTTGGTAGACAGTCAGCTGAGAACTTTTTCTTTTTAACATAAACCTTATTCTATCTACTTCCAGCTGCTTGCAGCTAATCACTATGGGTGTGCTCTGGCACTCTACCCTCTCAAGATTGCAGACATGATGCCTCTTGTAAATACAGCTGTTACTGTACCGTATACTGAGAGAATGTTTAGGATTGAAGCAGACTCAGAGATCTCACTAACAGATTTTCATCTTTGAGCCAAATGTACAAATGAGGAAAATGAAACTCAGGATACTGTTGAAAGTTTTGTGGGGAGGATGAGGCAAAAAGGGTTAAATGTTGGATTTCTGCCTTGAACAAAGACTTGCTAGTTAATCTTGCTTGCTTGCTTGGAACCAAGTGTTCTAAATTACTAAAGAAGGCTTGGCTTATGATGATTCATGATAGTCTTGGAATATGCTTTACCATATGATAAGCCTGGGTGAAATATACTAATCGAGCTGTAAAACACAGTCACATAAATCCTGCTCTGTCTTTGTTGCCAAAGCCTTAGATTTAGAATTATAGCGACCTTTTTCTGGCAGCAAGCCTTTGCCCAGGAATCATAACTTAAATGGAGCCTACCCCATCATTCAGGAGAGAGATTTTTCCACCCATCTCCCCAGATGTGGTTCTCATTCTTCTACCAGGCAAGTAGGACCAAGTTTCCACCATTACATTCACTAATTTCTTTTAGTAATTAGCAGTTGTTGAAGTGTGCTCCCACATCTGTGCAGGATTACCTCCTCCCCAATTAGCCAGGCGTATTAAACCCCATGTTCTTACTTTCTCCTGTTTAAGTGAGTCCTTTTGCATGACGGAGAAGTGTACTGCTGGTGCATCATTCACCTGGCACTCCATGCCTCTCCACCAGGAAAAATAGTTTTTTTTATGCATTACACTATTGGTAGCATGTGTACCCAAGCATAAAATAATAAGTACAAGAAAAAGGTATGGCAGGGTGGCACCTTAAAGGCTAACTGGTTCAAAGGGGCATGAGCTTTTGTGAGCAGCAGCCTACTTCATCATATGCTAGGAATAGACTGGAAATCTGTTCCTAGCATTGGACAAAGTAGACTGTTTTTTACAAAACCCTTACGCCTCTCTGAACCATTTAGTCCCTAAGGAGTCTCTCTGCCCTACTTTCTGCCATAAATAGGAAGGTTTCTAGACCCTTTTTAATATACCAACAACTCTCTGCCATTTGCTCCCTTTTTTATCAGCAATGATGAATTTTTTTTTAATTTAAAAATAGGTTCTACAGTTTTCATTTAAAATGTATTGCCCCATCGGTTCCCACCTCATTTCATATTCTGGTAATTGTGAACATTGTTTACATGCCAAGTATCAATCTGAGGCACATCCATTTATGAATGAAAATATCAAATAAGTAGGAGTGAAGAACTGAAAAATGAGGATGCACTAAGATGCTAAGGATCTGGCCCGTCGAGGGATTTTATCTGGCTCAGGGCAGGTCCCTCAGTCCTGCCCAGTCTGGGCACAGGGGGCAGCCCGGGTTGTGGCATGTGTGGCTGCTCCTGCTGCCCCAAGTGTACACCAGCTGGCATGGCAGTTGGACTTGCTTCCTGGCAGTGGCGGCTCCTTCTGACCGACACACTGCTGCTGGACCTGGCCCCACTGCCTGGGCACCTCAACGAGTCCACCCTGTGGGACCTGTGCAGGCAGAGCATGTGGCTAGGCAGATGGGATGGGGCCGTGGGTGGGTGGGGAGCGGTGTTCGGGAGTGGGACAGGTGGGCAAGGCTGGGATCACAGGTCAGTGACAGCGTGGGGCTGGGGCAGGGACAGAGCTGCAATCCACTGCTCACATGGCCCTGCAATGGGCATGGATTCCCCAGGCAGGGGCGTGCAGGGAGTAGATCATGGCTCTGCCCCAGGACCCAGCCCCATGTTGTCACCACCCCAAGATCCTGGCCCTGGCCCCAGACGCGGATCCTTGCCTGCCTGCAGCCCCATCCTATCCAGCTGGCCATATGCCCTACCCACACTGGTGTCAGCCAGTCTCTGCAGAGAACCCAGGATTGCTGGGCACTGACAGCGCAGGGTCAGGACCCAGGGCAGAGCCATGATCCACTCCCTTACGCTCCTGTCCACAAAACCAGCACCTGTCGTAGGGTGTTATGGGCAGTGGGTCACAATTGTCCCAGGTCCCAGCCATGTGCATTCACCACACCATGATCCCAGCTCCAGCCCTTGTGGTCCATCCTGGATGCTGCTCCCTGCCAGCCTCTGGCCAAGTGCAGAACAGAGCCACTTAGGGAATTTTGGTGAGCTGTTGTGCAGTAACACCTGGTGAAATCCTGCATCCTTTCATAATGTGATGCCTGCTATCCTTAATATGGGCTTGACACTTTCTCCTACTTGGCTGTACTCAAGCTGCTGCTTGTCGGTTGGCATAAAGAAAGATTGCAAGCATCTTGGATACTATAACACCATCCTCCAAAAGAAATTTCATTAATATAAGCAACAGGAAAAAATCTCAGCTGGGGAGAGAGCTACAAACCCCAGAATCACAATGATTCACCAGAATTATCACTCGTTCATCCAGTTTCCTAAAAGATTTCAGCCGCACATATATATCTTTACAAAAAACTTATATATTACTATTTCTTTGTCTGATATATCACAATTAAAGTAATAATTAACCATTTGGTAACAGGACGCAAAATGACTCCAGCCATAGTTATTAACTGTAGTGATGTAAAGGACCATAAATATGCTACATCCTTGACAACTGTATACAGCTCTGAAGGTCCTTGTATTTCCTTATCTAAAGCACCTTTCTCGCTTTCTGCTGAGGTCACTTTTATACTTCATTGGTACATATTAGGCTTGTACGTATTTTATTTTTATCACTGTTAAAAAGAAAAAAAAATAAAGATCAGCCATTGACTGTTCCAAACCTTGGTTCAAGGTTCTCTTTTCATTGGAGATGGGTATAGCTTGTGGGTGCCTTTTGAAAGATGCTGTAGTCAGCTGTATTCTGTGTGACATGCAGAGAAATAATAAACTGCAGAAACCATTGATTTTTCTATTTGGCAATCTGCCATCATAACATTGTTCACTTTTTTTTGTTTTTTTACAGAAAGCTTGTAGGTACTTAAATACTATCTTAGAGTAGGAAGATTCCAAATTAGAAAAAGTGAAGTAAAATATGACTCCAGTAATTATCAGACGAAGCACTGTTTGCTTTGGCTGTGCTGCATTTGGGGCTAAGGAATATTTATAGTGTAGGATCTGACTCCAATTTCACAGGAACACGATTTGCCGCCAGCATGTTAGCAGATTTTTCAAAACAATGGACTTCTAATATTTGGATTTATCTTCAGGTAACTGAATTGTTAACGCATTAATTTTGGTTTTCCATTATTCAAGGAGAGAGAGTGGACATGTTAAGATGGCATAAGTGAGCGCAGCAAGTAGAAATGGAACAAAAATGCATGAATGGGGTGTATGGGGGTGAATATGGGGCATTGGGAGGTGCAGTGGTACAGCTGCATTTCTATTCAGGCAGTGCCGAGAGAGTCTATTGACTTCAAGGCTCATTGTCATATCCCTGATTCCTGTTAATCTCTCTCCACTGCACACATGCAGGTGTTAACAACCCTCTCTTCTTTTTAATCCTCTTGATGTTCCATTATTCAAACTATTCTTTCTTCTGCAATTTTGTTATCTGTTAGCCATTCCTGGTAGTGTCTGTCTTCTATTTCACAGCCCTGAAGACTGTTTTCAGCTCTACCTAAAACCTTAACTCAAGTGTGGCAATACTAATTTACGTGTAGAAATGACCGACCCGTGAAATATTGGAAGCATTGTCAAGGTGTTAAAGAAGGCTAGGTTTTGTTTTGTGAATCTGAATAAGAAGCATGAATTTAACTGTAATGACTGCAGGACTAATGACACTATCTTTTGCCCTTTTTCACT